TGGAGTACCTGAGAATCTTCAGGTTTATATGGGGATTCGATAGGGATAGTGGAAAAGAACATGGAAACCACCATAGTACCCCTAAGGCCAGATCATAGGGCTTTAGGGCCCAAATGCTTTAGTGTTAAGGGTATTTGGGACGTCAAGCCCTATGACCCTATGATTTGGGTCCTTGGACCCTTAAAGGAGAGCATTCCAAACTCCAAAATACGAGCTCAAAGACGTAAACTTTCAACACCCCACCCCAAACCCTAAACCCTTAACCCTAAGCACAAGCTGTGTACCTTGAGCTGGGCCCTGAGCCGTCAACGCTACTTGCTGGAGCGGTTGAGGCCTTAGGGTTTAGGGCTTGGGTTTGGTTACCCTACTTTCGCACAGTGCAGCTCTACGTGTTTGGGTTCTCTCAATACCCCTAAACCCTAAGCCCGCCTGTATCTTAGCTTGCTTCGCTTGGGGGAGCCGGCCGACCCGCCAAACTCCGAGCCATGGACATGCAAGAATCCAGCCCCGAACCCCAAGCGGTTTAGGGTTCAGGGTTTAAGGTTAAGGGTTTAGGGTTAAGGGTTTAGGGTTAAGGGTTTCGGGTTTGGGGTTCAGGGTTTTGGGATTTGGTCCTAAACCTAGTACCCAAACCCTGAACCTTAAAAGCGGGCAGGACAAGCTCCAAAACATCCTGTCCAAACATCCAGACGGTGTGGCGCACAAGGACTTCGCGCAGTTGAGGCCGTGGGATGTGGGAACCACTCAGAGAGAATTACAGCATGCACCCGCTATGTTTTACTAGCACAGTACAGGGGGGGATTGCATGATGACATTAGTACAGTATAGGGGGGATTGCATGCTGATATTAGTACAGTATAACGGGGATTGCATGATGGGACAGAGCTTTGTGTAAAATCCCATTTCCATGTTAGGGGGCCCTTCTTGGATCCCGACTGCTTTCTGAGCATCAAGCCCTTGGCACAGTTAACCGCAAATGGGAGCCCATCCAAATAAGCCCTACGGAACCCCGGGCCCCCACAGTACGTAATTAGCGTGATCTGTTTAAAGCTTGTTTTGAGTCGGTTGGTGCATTGTTGGTCTTACTCTTGAGGTCCAGGCAGTAGCAATTCCCATAAAGCCCATAGAATCCCCACATAGCCCAGCCCCCTCTAATCTGGACGGGTACCGCTGTTTGAGAGCCCTCCATACAGAAAGGTTCTTGGAGTAGCGCTAGATGCTGAGGGGCCGCGAAAAGAAGCTGAACCCTCAGTAGTCCCGTCCAAAAACTTTTAATCTTGTTAAGTAGGGTTCAAATTCTAGGGTTTAGGCTATTAGACTCTCAGAATCAACACCGAGGTCAATATACTGGAGCCTCAATGAACAACAAATCCCTGCAGTGCCCTTGTGGGCATGCTAGGTTCAATCGAGACAGTCATTGCATACACACGCAAAACTCTGGGTTTCCTTCTGCATACCCTAAGCCCTACCCAAGGGCTCCTATGTAGTTCTTTTTTGGGTCTGTTATGTTTTTTTGGTAAGGGATTATAGTATACTATCCAATTTGAACTACATAGGAGGGCTTGGGTAAACCCTGAATGACACAAGCGCAACCATATAGCTCAACCTCCACACCCTCCCTCAAGCGAACTGGGACCTCCATCGGAGTAACTCAAAAGGATAGAACAATTGTAGGTCTGAGTTTGGGCGTCCACTTTGGGTTTCGGGGGATGAGAGGCACTAGACCTTGAACTGCAAGGCTGTGCTGCAAGATTGATATGCTTCAGTTGGGCTTTGGAAACACGCAGTGCCGCACTTGTGAATGTACGCAACAGGGCCTACACATGTGCAGAACGAACCTCGCATCAACTCTACTTGAACCCTAAACCCTAAACCCTAAACCCTAAACCCCTAAACCCTAAACCCTAAGCCCCAAGGCCATGCGGAATTGGCCGCCTTAAGTTGTCAAACCCCAGAGGCTTTGCACAGGGCTTTTGCAAATTACCCACATGGGTGGTTGTCAAAATNNTACGGGGCCTAATTTAGGGGACCCCAAAAAGGGACCATAATTTTGACAATCCCCCACATAGTTCTCAGCTTGTACGCAGGTCTCAGATTGCCATAGTCTGGTCGGAGATCTTGAACAAGCGGAGGACTTGCGGTTTTCGGAAAGTGTTGGTTGGGTTGGGTCTAGTGCCTTAAACCACAAAGCCTACAGTGATTGAATAATTCTGGGCTTCAGAGTGACGTTTTACTACAATTGAGCCGTATAGCAAGATGCGCATATACCGGGAGCTATGTTATTAGAGAACCCTTTTTTTCGAAACTAGGGATTATAGTTACTTACTTTGGATCTAGCAATGGTATCTTTGGCTTGTGAGCCACAGCCGGCATGCGGCGTCACAGTGGTGGGGGCTGTTGAGCCCTAAACGCACCGCAAAACCGCACAGGGAAGCAACCACTAAGGAGTCATCAAGAGCATTCTTGAGGTCTCAGATCAGAGGAGTTTCGGGGCTTTTGCAGCTGGTACGATGGCCTTGCTCTTGTTGGGTTTGGTGTTCAGGGTTCCACAGGGGCTGGGAGTGAGGGCTTCTTGGCTGATCTTAGAAGGCAGGGGCTTGAGGGGTTTTACTAATCAAGCGCACTAAAACCAAGAAATCGGGCTCGGGCAAACTCGCGGAATCTTACCTGCTCCTAAACGAGCAAGGAACCCCATGTAAACCACCTTGTTAGAAGGACGGTACTTTTTGAAGGACGCCTTCTGGACTTGCAAGTATCCTGGAGACATGGTACCAGCATTGTGCAGATTGTACGAAGTGTATCGTGTTGCTTTTGAGGGAACGTCTGCAACACCTGTAGCCCTTAATTTGCTCCGAAGCCTTTTCATCACCCCGTGCCCGGGCACACCACGCATGGTGCATCTTGCTCTGCCTTCGCAGATTTCGAAAAACCACCCCGGACAGTGAACCAACCATCTACACAACCCCCGTTGAACTCCAAATCCGATTCGCTAGGATAGTCGCCGCAGACTCTATAACCCAACCCAAAGCCGTTAGGCTGCAAGTGAGCAAGAACCATGTACTTCCCCAAGCCTATGCTATAGATCCTCGCACGTACCGAAACCCCGAGTTCCCGCTTTTTGTGTGCTTGGACCTTTGGGGAAAGCCTCCTACCCGCAGGAAGGAGAAGAACGAGAAGCAGATGGCCACCATCAAGAAGAACTCGGCAGAGATTCTGTGCAGTCCCAAGACTTTTGAGAGATTCACAGCTTTTAGGAGTTTAGTGGGCTTAGTGACCCCCAAAAAAGGGAATTTGGTACCCAAAGCCCTTTAGGATGGGTACATTTCGTACTTGGAGGGTCGGGGGACTTAGTAAACCCAAATATCCCCAATTAGTAAGCTACTTACGAAGTGCCCCTGACCCTCCAAGTAGGTAGGGTGGAAGCTTTGGTGTTTGGGGTTCAGGGTTCAGGGATCCAGGTGAATACGTACGCGAGTGTCTTAAGGTTACTACTCCCCAGAATGGTTCGGCTCCCGTGTTGCCCTTCTGCTTAAGGAGCCTATGAGGTCGAGGTCCGCACCAAAATCCCAAACCTCAACTAACTGCAATTCCACCGGGAACGCGTTTCATGTGGCCACCGCACACAGCCCACAGGCACACAGCAGAATCCTTTCATATTAATGCTAAGCACCCCCCCCCCCCACCCTGCCCGTATTATTCAATATTGTTCCTAAGAGACCTCATAGGTTGGAGGGCATGTTGCTAGTGGGTGTGATTGATCCCCTCCTCCTACTATTACACCCTTCCACCCACCCTAACATCTAATACTAAGTACTTCCGATATATCATAATCTTGTAATATATCACAATGGGTGTGGTATTTATCGGGGGGTGGGGGGGTTGGGGGGCGAATATTAGTGGGAGGGGGTTAAATATGAAGCGCCAGTAGGCTTTACGGGCCAGTCTTCTTGCAAATGACGAAGAATGACGCCTAGCAACTACAAGGCTCTAGGACGAAAATTGGAAAGCCTGCGCCCAACACTAGATCCAAAGCCGGCCGTACATTCTAAAGCCCCAACCACTCAAACTCTAAGAAAAGGTCCGAGCAAAAACGAGCAAAAACAAGGCAAACCTTCCAAAAGCATCCCCATAGCCACTGAACTGGAACAGCTTCCCGGAGAAAAACAGCTGCCATTTTTCGGGAGTTTGCGGAAATTGGGTGCACTTTTTTGAGCCCCTTAACATAAGGGCTATAGTTTATTGGGGTTTACATTGGGGTCCCCTCTTCAGGGAAACCTGCGTATGCCCCCTACATCCCCCTTTTACGCCCGACTTTTACCTAGAATTTGACGGTCGTGTGGAAGTTTCTGAAAATAATCCTTGATTATAGTCCCCTTGAATTTCAGGGGTCCTACCGAAACCCGAGCCCTAACACCAAAAGCGCTAAACCCTAACACCCTGAAACCCGAAACCTTAAACCCTGAACCTTAAACCCTAAACCGTAATCCCTAAACCCTAGTCCCTATAGTAGCCCCCTATATAACCCCCTTAAAAAAGTCTAAGGCCCTTAAACCCCCAAACCTTAAATCCATCCCCTGGATCTGGACTCTGGGGCTCTGCCTTCAGGTCGGCACTGAGCAGCGTTGAGGGCGAGGTCGCCAAGGCGGAGGCTCAGGCCCGGCGGGGGTTAGGCGTAAGGGTTTAGGGTTGAGGGTTTTGGGGTTTAGGGTTTACGGTTTAGGGTTTAGGGCTTACAGGGCTTCTAGGGCTTATAAGGTTTAGGGTTAGGGGTTTAGGGTTAAGGGTTTATAGGGTTTAGGGTTTATAGGGTTTAGGGCTTGTAGGGTATCCGCTATGCTTGATTCAGCCTGCAGGCTGCATCTGCGAAGCTTTCCGCGCCGAAACAAGAGAGCCAATTGGGGGTCTCCCATAATTGGGGGGTACCTTCTTGGGGGTCCCCATAGTGAGGATTATCGTATTTTGGGGTCTATATAACCCTAAACCCTAAACCCTAAAACCCTAAACCCTAAAACCTAAACCCTAAACCCTAAACCCCTATTCAGGGAAACTACCAAGTGCAGCGTGCCCTGCAGGGGATGGGACGGCTTCTAGCCGGTGCCGGCAAATGGCGAGCTACCCCGAGTGACGGGGTTTAGGGTTTAGGGTTTGGGGTTTAGGGTTTAGGGTTTAGGGTAAGGGCCGTGCTCTACGTGTGGAGGGGAGCTACAGGGGAAGGTATGCAGCAAAAGAATGACTCTGTCAGCTTGAGCTTGCACTGTTTCGGGTTTGCTTTTTCTTTGCAGTCTTCCCTTAATTAGGATCCAAATAATAGGGCTTTACGGCCCAAATGCTATAAAACCTAAGCCCTAAGCGCTACACCCCTAAACCCTCAAACCCTAAACCCTACACCTAGACCCCTATTAACCCTAAGCTCTAAACCCTAAGCCCTGTTACGCCCAAAGAACCAGAAAATTCATCCTCTCCTAGCAATGAGAAGCCTCCACCTCCTTTTCATTGATACTCCCAACCTTAGGGTATAGGGTTCAGGGTTTAGGGTTTGGACTCCCAGCCTACGAGTTGTAGATAACAGAGAATATGAAGGGGTTTCCCCAAACTAGGGGTACTTTGAAAAGGGGTTGCAGGGTCAAACAGTTGTATACAGCGTTGTATAGGGTTTCGGGGAAAGGGTTAGGGTTCCCTTAATCAGGGTCACCTTTTTTTGTTGGGGGGGGGAGGGGCCCTTTAATAAGCATCATAGTAGCTTTCGGTTTTCGATCAAGTTGATGAGGGTAAGCCCTAAAACCTAAACCATGAGCGTCAATTTTGCACAGGTCCGGATATTGGGTCCAATGATCGGCGCTTCGATGCTGGACATGCTCAGCGAAAGGAGCGGGTATGGCCTGGGCTTTGGGGCCTGTATGATCATTGAAATTCAAGCAGTTTATTTTTTAAAGTTCAGGGTTCGGAGTTGGGTTGATGCGAGGGTTTAGGGTCAACGTTGAAGGGATGAGTTGCTTTCAGGGTCTAGGGAAGGTTCTTGAGGAAGGACGTTCTGTTCGGGCAGGGCCTGCAAGAGATTTTTCCCTCATTGGTAGACGTTCCCTGAAAGGGAGTTTTCGCACTTCTGCTAACATAATCCTCAGAACAGGTTGAAATGATTATTTCTACCAGGTTTCCAGGGTAGTTAGAGGCTCTAGTTCTGGAAAGCAGCTGCGAAGGACACGTAAATAGCAATGAGCCGGGAGTTTGGCTACCCCGACCCTATAGACTGCGTCACTATCAGATGATTCTTGAAGAGCTTTCAAGAGTCCTTGCTACAGCAGTTGGGGCTACCGAACCCCCCTGGAGTCTCAGTCCAACTGCAGTTGCAGTAGTTACCACCACCGCTTGCAGGCATGTTTTGTACTATGCCTACCTAATTATTTGAAGGCACAAACCCTAAAGCCTAGATCTCAAACCCGAACCCCCAAGTTCGAAATCCACAACGTCTTAAATCCTAAGCCAGTGCGCAGCTTAGCGCGCCCAGAGTTGGACAGCTTTGCGTCACGTGGTTTCTTTTGCAGATTTAGGATGGTCTTTGGCGTCCGATTTAGTATGCTTAGCAGTGTGATGAGCCAATGGCAAAGCTTGGGGCTTTTAGGGGGGGCTTTTGCTCCGTGGTGCAGCTCACAGAGGCCAGTCTAACCGTTTGGAACACTGCTCCCGTCTACGGCTGGGCTTCACACGGCTTTGAGCCACCATCCGGGACATATGAGAAGGGGGCCTCACATCGCTGGGCCTAATTTGTAAAGGCGTTGGAGGATGATTGGCACGGGCACGTCAGCGGCTGGGCGAAAACATCAGCTCATACCAACTCTCTGACCACTGTGAACCCTGAACCGACATCCTTAATCCCCTCCCCCTAATATTAAACCCCCCCCACCCGCCCTTATTTAATTTGAGGGGGGGTGTTAATATTAAGTGGAGGGCATCCAACAGCAACGATTTAGATTTCCCAAGCCCATTGCAGCCTCAACTGCAGCCCTGAAATCTGTCCAAGACCGACACCACTTGACGTTCTAAACTCTGAAGATAGGGTCTGGGGTTTAGGGCTTAAAAACAAACCTGAAACAACAAGCCCTTAATTCCACACCTTGAGGCTCAAACCGGAACCGCAAGAGCGCGAAAACAAAAACTGCCCATGCAGGGCCGGAACGGAGAGTGCACAGGAACTTCTGGTCATGTTACCTTTACACAATGTTAGGTGTTTAGGGTTTAGGGTTTAGGGTTTAGGGTAGGTACAGGTAGGTACTAGTATATCCCTGTTATGGGCACGTCCTTCAAGTTCTTTAGCCAAAAGGGATTGTTACTCAAGCGATTAAAATCAGAAGCCTACTACAGGGCCCTTATAGGATCCTGTTTTTGAATTTGCGGTCGCTATAAGCAGGGTTGTAGGGTTTAGGGATTAACAGCATCCGGCCGCAATGAGATTTGTTTGGGGCGGCGGCAAAAAATCAAACCCTTAACCCTTCCCCCAATGAAAACAAAACAACATACCTTTGTAGGGCCCTTTGGGGCTTCTGTGCTTTAGGGAAGTGTGACCTGCATTGTCCAGATGCTTCTTTGATAATCCATACATAGCTCAAGTAAAGGACACCCTCCGCAGACCCTATTCCAAATTCTTAGACCTTCAGCCCTAAACCCCAAACCCTTCTGGACCAACTTCTACATCGATCCAGTTCCATTTGTTTCCCTTTGCCTTTCCATTTGATTCTTTACTATCCCAAAACGCAGATGCCCGGAATGCTAAACCTGAGGCCCCAAACCCTAAACCGAAAGGGTTTGGGGTTTAGGGTTTAGGATCTCAAAAAGCCCGCACTTCGACTTGCCCTGGTGCCAGGACCGAGGCAGCAGAGAGTGCCGTTGACGCCGCCCGGGATTTCCTGGCTGCTGCAAAGGAGCAGGCGGCCTTAACATTGTTGCTATACTATTACCTGGACCCCAAAAGTAGGTGGAACAATGGCCCACAAATCTTAAAACAGCCCCAAAGGACATTATTCTACATACTCTTAGGATTTGAGCATTCTGATATCTTCAACCCTTACCTATACATATATATATGTGTGTGTATGTACATGAAAGGAGAATTCTGAATCTGGATTTTGGTGAGTGTGTATAAGGTTGTTTAGGAATATTGGTGAGAGTGTATATTTACTCTCCGATTTGGGGGACCATTATTTGGGCTCCTACCATATGTTGTTCTTGTTATGGCTCCTACCATGTTCAGTATTAGTATAAGTTGTATTGTTCTATCATTACTTCAAGCATCGGAGCTGTATGTTTGCACTTGTATATGGCTGTCTATTTAGTATTTCATCCAGATTGGGGTTTGTCCTTTCGTTGTGTGGTTTCCCCTGCTTTTCAGCTATGTTATGGCTTCGGCTTAAGGTTCCGGGAACCCAAAGAGCCCATTACCCCTAATTGAGGAATACAACCTAAATAGTACTAGGGTCCCTAATATGATTTAAGCTACATTCCTTCATTAAGGGGTATATGGCTCCCTGGGGATATACCCTAAATGATACCAGGGTCCTTAGTAGGATTTATGCTACATTCTTTTAGTTAAGGGGTATATGGCTCCCTGGGGATATGAAGAGGGGCTCCCGGTCTGAGCCTTTCCTTTTGGGGTCTGGGGTCCCTTCGGACGGGTTGCTCAGACGAGGGATCGAGTTAATGGGCCCCCTTAAGTAGATAGAATATGGAGTATACTGGGATGTTATTACAAATATACCCAACGCCATCTTCTATCTACCTTATGGGGATTATAGAGGCAGAGGGGTTCTTGGCCAGAGTTTACTGTCTTTAAAATCTTTGAGTTTAAGCGTTGTGAGGGCCTCCCCAACTTTCAATCTTCTTGGAGGAAGTCTTGACTTAGTACTTAGGGCTTAGGTTTTAGGGTCTACCTGCTAACTGTGGTTGTGAGGCTTATAATAGGGGCTATTGGGGATATAGTAGGTAGACTTACTAAGTCAAAAGATCACCCTAAATCCTAAACCCCAAGCCCCTAAAACCCTAAACCCCTAAACGCAAAACCCCTAAATCCCTAAACCCTACAACCCTGAAGTCCTAGAACCCTAAAACCCTACACCCCCAAACCCACATTCTTTCTCCAACCCTTAGTAAGTCCAAAGATCATCCAAGTTGATTCGAAACTGGCCTTTGGCTAGTTGGGAATGAAGGAATGGAAAAGAAAATGGAAACGACTATATTTGGTTATATAGGTTTAGGGTTTGGGTTTAGGGTTCTAGGGTTTAGGGTGTTAGGGTTTAGAAAGATTCGAAAAGAAAAGGGAAACTACTATAAAAGGATTATGTAGGGACTACTTAATTCCGAGCTAACCAAAGACCAGAAGAGAGGCGTGTGGCACATTTCTGCATAGACGGGCTTGGCATTAGAAGCTAATTGTTTCAAAATGTGGTTTCAGGGGTTATGAGGCCTTACAAGCAGGGTTATTGCATTAACTTTAGCTAAGTCCCAGGCCATTTTAGTGGGTAAGTTGACCGAACCTGAACCCGAAAGGAACGCAGAATAATGGCTTTTTGGGCATTTGTCACTGGTTTTTGGTTGTTATTTTGCCATTTTTTGGGGGTCCAGGTAGAGACTAAGCCAGTTAAAGGAGCCCTTAGACGTGTTACGGAAATCAGGGTCTGGAGCAGGCGCAAGTTGCGTCTTGTGTTGCGACTTTGGGGTGACCAAATATTCGCTCAAACCCTAAACGCCTGGACCCCCCAAGTATGTAGAATAATGGCCTTTTGGGCTATTCTTTAGGGTTTTGGGCAATTATTTTACCCACTTTTGGGATCCAGGTAAATCCCAAATCATTTTTAAACCCTAGACTGTAAGCTTTGCGCCCTGCTTGTGTGCAAAGAGGTTGTGCGCACTATGGCAATGTGCATGTCTAATCTCATCGCGACTACCATTACAATCACTATCACTCTCGCTAAGCTTCCCAGAAGCAAGGAAACAAGAGAAAAAGAACAACAGCTTTGCTGCTTCCAGAAAAAGCCCTAAACCCCAGGCCCCAAATAGTAGCTTCCAGTTTCTTTGCCATAACCCCTAAACCCTAAACCCCTAAACCCTAAACCCCTAAACCCTAAACCCCTAAACCCCTACACCCTAAACCCCCTAAATCCCTAGACTCCTTGACCCCTAAACCCCTAAGCCCCCAGACCCCTATACCCCTAGACCCCCTAAACAGCAACTTTGCCGATTCAGGCCCTGGGGCTGGGCGTTGACAGCAACTTCGAGACGGAGGCCTTCGGGTGCCTTTAAGGGGCTGACCGAAGGTTAGGGTCTAGGGGTTTAGGGTTCAGGGTTTAGGGTTTATGGGTTTTTAGGGTTTAGGATGTTTAGGAATTAGGGTTTTTAGGGTTTAGGGGTTGTAGGGTTTAGGGTTTAGGGCTTACAGTTTAGGGTTTAGGGTTTAGGGGTTTAGGGCTTAGGGTTTAGGGTACCGTCTTTGGTCCCTAGAAGTTGAATTCCTCTACAAGGACAAAGAATACTTGGGTTTTAGCTATAGGGATATAACTGCTTCTTAGGTCTCTTTAAAGCACAAACGATTACATGGTCCCTTGAAGGGGTTATAGTTATAGGGACGTAACAGCTTCTCAGGCCCCTTTAAAGGATAACCATTTAGATGGTATCAAGTTGAGGGATGGAGGAGATCTTGTATACCCTAAACCCTAAATCCCTAAACCCTCTACCTCAGCATTTACAGGGTTTTGGGGATCCTAAGTGGTGCAAGATTTCCTTCAGCCACCATATGAGCTGAAGTCTAAACTCCTTAAAGGGGCTTTATACTGGGACTCTATATGAGAGCATTTTCGGGGCTATTAAAGGGGCATACTAGCAGTTTAGACTATAGCTCATGTGATTATCAGATGACTCTTATTAAGGCTGGGCAGGTTATAGCGACCTCACCCCGACCTCAGCTGACGTTGTGGTTTTCCTCAGAATATACGGTGACTGCAGGAAATCTTGCACCATTGAACATGCCCAAAATACTGTATTTCCTAGGGTGTAGGGCATATAAGGTGGTGCAAGATTTCCTCCATCTACAGTAGTTCCAAAATGTCTTGCATTATTTCAGGTTCTGAAATTTGAGCTGGCAAGTAGGGGTTGAGGTTACCAAAATCTGCTGAGCCCTGAACCTGAAAACCTTCTCCCCTACAAACTGGGGATCTATCGGGATTATTTCGGGTTATATTGAGGTTATGCAGGGTTATTTTGGTGTTTTATAGGTATATGTAGGGATTATATAGGGTTATGCCCCAAGCCCTGAATATGCGTCCGCCTTCCGCTGCCAGCCCCTGCCCCCACCCATGGAGATGCGGCCATATCTACAACCCCACGAGCCACAAGCAACTGCAGACGTTTCTATACATCCTGCAGCAGAAGCTCTTTAGCAGCCGCAGAAAACCTCTTGCAGCAAACCCCTTCAACCCTCCATAATTTTATGAACCCTCCACAAAATGGAGCTTTCTTGAGCCTTCTGTAAACCGTCTATAAGTGCACTTTTTATAAAACCGCCATACATATGAAAACCGTCTATAAACAAGAAGTAAACCAAAACCCTGTAAGCCCAAAACCTTAAAAGCTTGAAAAGCTGAGAAGTGGGAACCCTTTTTTGAGAAATACCCACATTGTAGTGCATTGTAGGGCTGAATGAGGGCCTGCGTACGCATGGGTTGAACCCTTCCCGGAATGTTTGCAGCCCACCCCGACCTTATGAAAACCTGAAACCCCATGTAACCCCATATATCCCCAACATATCCCTTTACAGGTGCCCCCCCATAGTTGGAAACCCTAAACCCCGCCTTCAGGGCCTTTCATTCGACTTGTAGAACCGCTCCAAACAAATGGAATCTGTAAAAGGGTCCTGTAAAGACTAGTGACTACTGCCTCTTGAGCGAGAGTCAAAACTCCTGAGAGGGGGCTCTATAGGATTTAGGGTTAGGGTTTAGAGAGGTTATATAGGGGATTGTATACAGGACTACTAGAACGGTTATGAGGGGGGATACTAGGGTTCCAGTTTGGGGGAGATGATTAGCCCTGGAGAAAGGAGAATCTGGCAGGGATCATGCGAGTCGCCTAATTGGGGGCCTTTGCTTAAAGACATAAGCCTGGCATACCTCCTAAGCATAGTGGAACCCTGAACAAATAAGAGTCATATGAAGCACCCAAAATCGTTTGCAATTTTTTCGACAAGACCCTGAACCTTAATCCATTATGAGATTGTCAGATTTTGTGGCAGCAGCGCATGGTGGAGAGTTCAAGCATGAACCCTGAACCCCTCGACATACCCCTTTTTACCCTTGTATACTCGTATGTATCCCTATGTAACGTAGTTTCCTACTACCCTTTTTATCCCCTAGAACCCCAAACCCTTTGCTGCTGCCGGCGCAAGGCTAAGCAAATGGCCTTGGGTGAGGCCAACTGTTGTCCGGGCGACGGGCGGTCTACAGGGATCGCTTGGCGATTCTGGGTGATTGTAACCCAACTTGGTTAGGGTCCAGGGCTTCGCGGGGTTTTAACCCCACAAGCTAAATCATAACCATGTTAGGCTTTTTGGGGGATTTAGGAGGTCTAGGCGTAGAGGGGTCTACGGTGTTTACCAGACGGGTTGGGCTTGGAGGCTTTGGTTTAATTACGGTTTAGGGCCTTTACGGCTCAATGATTCAAAGTCTCGGAATTTGAGATTCAAGGTTTACACGCTTGAAGAACTGAAGAACCCGAGATTTTTGCGTTCTGGCTCTCTGATCTCGTGACTTGCGAGTTCAGCAATCCAAGGCTTTAAGTTTAAGGTTCAGGATTTCAGGCCAACAGCTTTACTTGTACGAGGACTCTAAAGGCTAAAAGAGTCGCATTTCAGCAGCCTGCGAGACGACCCTACTCCAGATCACCTATTGGGGCTGCCGCTGGCGTGGGACGCTTGAGTCTGCAGGCTTTGCTCACGTCGGCGCAAACCCGTTGGTAATAGCAAGAGCAAGAGTAAAGAGTAAGAGTAAGAGTAAATTGAAGAGTAATAGTAATAGTAATAGCAATAGCAATAGTAATAGGGGCCAATCTCACACGGTAGGTGCCAGAAGGTTGTACTCTGGACGGCAAAGGCCCGAACGGCTCCAAGCTTGAAAGCTGGGAGGAGTTTGTGAACGAGGTGAGCATCAACGGCAGGTATGCCAGCGATCTTGAATTGCGTGCACTCTGCCGCATCCACGACGTCAGAGCAGTCATAGTGCCCCATGATCCAAACTTTGCTTTGGCTTCTTATCATCACAAACAACGCAAGAAGGTGATTGCACTGTATTACACCAATCACTACGACCTTCTGTTGCCTACGAAAAAGGGCCAACCCTACCCGGCTGACCTTTTTGGATGTTGTCCTTGACCCTGAGCTCTCTGGTTTCCCAAACGATCTGCGGTACCTTCATTGACAGGATGGAGGGAGGGTTGAGTCGAGATTCTGCCATACACGGAAAAGCTTACCTGGACCCCAACAGTATATAGAATAATTGCTTTTGGGCTATTATCTTACTTACTTTGGGGGGTCCAGGTAAGACTCCCCTTTTTTCTCCCTGCCCTCATTTGCGGATTTGATGCCTTCACACGTCAGGACGGCGTCTTATGCCTATCGACGCTTACTGCAATCGTTTTGCGATGTGCTGTTGGGGTTAAGGCTTCCTATTATGTAGCAGAGCCAGGCAACCATGCAGCCCTCGGAAACCCAACAAAACTGCTTAAGCCGGTTTTTGAGGTCTTCTGTATGGATCCACTGAACATTTTTTGTATTCCGTCCTGGCTTAAGGAAGCGCAGGCAAGATATGGGATTCGGGAGGGGTGGTAAGATGCCTTAGCGGATAGAAGAGGCCACAACTCATGCTCAAAACACATTTGACCATGACCCTTACACAAAACATGCCCTTCCCCGCTTTAAAGCGCCGCCCGCGAAAACATGCCCAAACGGAAGAGGGGCACTGTACCACGTGCCTCCAAGCTGAAATACAATGCCACCATGAACTTAGCCTCATCACGCGGTTTAGGGTTCAGGGTT